GTCGTCCCCGGAGGCGTCCATACGGTAGTTGGGCCAGTAGCACACCACACGCTGTTTGCAGCTTGCTAATATAATCTGGACACATACCAGTGATAGCAGTAGTAGAAATTTCATTTTAAGTAACTATTATATATTATTGTGATGTGTAAAGTAATTAACTATTTTATTTATTATAGTAAATTGAATGTTCAGGATACTGTAACGCTTTTATATGAAATTTGTACAGGTTGTGCGATTGTCGATGTGTGATTTATTGTATATATATTTGGCATTGCTGTGCATATATGGCATAAATGATATGATTAATCTTTTTTTATAAACAATTAATTGATAACGTATTTTTGATTAATAATCAATTTGTAAAAATCATAATTAAGTAAAATAGTAAGTAATTAAGTAATAAAGTAAAATCATCTTTACAATGCTGTATGTTAATATTTTATTAACAAGTAAGCTACAATTTTGGCTAAAATATTGTATTTACATTTTATGATAAATTTATATTGTTATTAGGGCTGTTCACAATTTTATATTACATGAATATTTATTCAACATTTGATCAGCCACAAAAGTTTCACAATACACAAGTAAAAACTGATTTAATGAGATTTTTACAAATTAAAACACCTGGATAAAAGAAGATTAATGCTTTTGTTTATGCTACTCTATTACTGTACTGTTTCGTAATTAAAATAGTATTGTTTTATAAAATTAAATGATAAATTATCAAACATAATTTTGTTAAAATTATTTATTAGTTTGTTACATGCACAATTTTTATTTAATTTTTAAATATCGCTAATCTATAATAAATAACATTTAAAAATTATTGCTCTCAATAAATCATTAATAAACATATGTTTAAAATAAATATTACCAACATCAATTTATTTATCTAAAGAATCTTGTTTCCATAAAAAATAAAAATTATATAAAATATAAACATGTTACTTTATCACTCGAGTTAACTTTATATAATTATCATTAATAATGATTTATTAGATAAATAAAAATTATTTTCTATGTACTACTCGTTTTTGGTTCACAACCATAGGTGTAGGGCCAATTGGTTTTATTAAACAGTCCATGATTAATGGCCCTGAGCAACGGATAAGCTTTTTTGCAACACTTGGGATGGAAATCATCCTGGGTGATCTCCCACACGTGGATGCCTCCATAGCCATTCTCTTTAACCCACATACTTTTACTATAATATTAACAACAATTACATTATAATTATCATGTAAAGTGATTTAAATAATATAATATATTATTTGAAAATTAAATCTACATGTAATAGATATATAACTGATTTAGTGATGTTTGGTTGGTAAGTTTCAAAAATCTCAAAACATTAATTCTGTATTAAATAACCTAGTGAAAAAAATAAACTTTATATCTACATCGATTAATAAACTCAAATAAGTAAATAAAATGTTCATGATAGCTTAAATAAAAAATAGACAGTGATATATAATAAAATATATTGGACACATTTTTATAAAATAAATACAAATTGTTCAACCACAAATCATACATACTTATTGGCGGCAAATGGATCATCGTAGCATGCCCAATTGACACCACTGTAGGCAATGGGGTCGTGGGCACCACCATCATCAGGGATCGCTTTAATCCAGCCCTTATTCTTAACCAGATCACACATTTCCCTATACATAGCGTATCCCGGGTTCCCAGCGGGTACCTGTCCCACACCGACAACCGGTGCATTCATTCCGTGTTGATCGGCACTCTGGAGCGTAAATGTGTGGGCATAGGCGGGCACTCCCATCACTATCTTATTTTTAGGCATCCCTTTGTTGACAT